TCCCTCTCCAGCTCTCCTGGAGCCCCTTCAGGCCCTGCAAGGGGCTCTGGGCTCTCCCTGGATCCTTTCCTTCTCCAGGTGAGCACCCCCAGCTCTCCCAGCCTGGCTCCAGAGCAGAGGGGCTCCAGCCCTGGGAGCAGCTCTGTGTTCTCCTCTGGGCTCTCTGCAGCAYCTCCAAGCCCTGTGCTTGGCTCAGTCCTGTACTTTGCAGTCTTTTGAGCTTCTCCATCTCCACTTTCAGGAGAAAGTTTTCTGTTTTTACCCTCAGGCTGTGTCCAAGGTGTTGCTGCTCCCATCCCTCCACTCTCCCTGCACTGACATCGGGAACGTCGTTTTTGTGCAGCTGAAAAACAGGGGAAAATGTTCCTTTCACACACTTGGCAGCAGTCAGGGACCTCACCCAGCAGCTCCTGAATGGAGCTCAGAGGCCATGGCTGAGCTTCCAACCTCTCCTGACCCCTTTTCCTGGGGCTTTTCCAAGCTCCCTCTTAACACTCCATCACTGCCCATTCACAGGTGTTAGGGAAAAAAAACACCAAACCCACACCTTTCTGGAGCAGCCAAAAATCTGCCCCTTCACCTTTTTTTTTTCCAGCATTCCCTAACCTTTCCCATACACCCTGCCCCTTTTCCCCTGCTCCCACCTGCATTAAGGCCCTGCTGTGGGGTGAACTGTGGAAGGAGGAATGTCCACACGGACAGCAGAGGGAGGAGGAGATGAGCTGTGAACTTCTGCACAGCCCGTTCCRCCAGGGGATGGATTTCCTCCGATTTTCATTGAATCGTTGGAATTTTTTATTTTTTTCCTTTTCACTCTTTTGTACAAGTTCAGGAAGGTCTCGAGTAAAGTCAAGCCTGGCTGGGCTTCACAGGGCTGGCAGCACTGGCTAAAARGTTTATTGCTTCCTGTTATGAGAGCTCAGGGAGCCACGATGGGATTTCGGGAGGGACACGGGCAGCTCCRGCTCCGGGGATGGCCCCGACGGGTGGGGCTGGAGATGGCCTTTCACTCCCACTGCTCCTGCAGCCACCTCAGGAAAGGGAAGCAAATAGAGGAGGGAATAATGGCTCGCTTTGACCTCTGGCTATCGAGGCAGATGTTTGCTTTGGAGCAGGAATAGACGCCGGAGGAAAATGCTATAAAGGGTTTTGCTGAGCCACGTCCCAGGGCTCCACCTGAGTCCCTGCTTGGCACCTCTCAGTACATCCYCTGTGCCATCCCACCACCCTGAACACTTCAGCAGAAAGGCTTCCCTTGGAAAAAGATAGTATTTTTTCTCMACACTGAAATTTGTCTCAAGAATGTGTCCATCGCAGCAAAATTTTCAGCTGGGAAGGGCTGGAATAAATTGCTTCTGCACTCCAGCCTGAGTTTAAACATTTCCTTTGGGCTTTCATACTTTGGAATTCAAATCTTATTGTTATTTAACTTGATCAGATTAGTTTTTTGGTAATTTTCAAAGTGAAGTGCTTTTACCTTTCTACAGTCATCAGCCAGCGATATCTGAAGGAAACTTTTCCCTGTTTTTCAGCAGAAATATTATTTATTCTGCTAGCAGCACTGGCTTTTTGCTCCAGGCACAAAGCAATGCAAACTTCACAGAAATTCCATTTTCTGACCTATCTTCTGTGCTAACYGAGGCATAACTGTGGTCCAAATGTCATGGCAGCTCAGAGCCAGAGTTTACATTTTCAGAGTGCATGAAGGAAAACATCCCTCACCTCRTTTTCAAACAGTCTTGCATTATTCAGCCAAAATCCCCACAGGCTTGGGAAAAAATGTGTAAGACCAGATTTTCTGTGTTTCGTCCTCGCAAAGAGCCAGAGATCGACCACATCATCCTGACCCAGATCAAAATCTCCTTGGGCTCATCCAGCAAGCAGAGCTGGATACAGGATAAAAACCATCCTGATGATGAATAGGTAGAGATCTTGCCTTTCTGTCGTTCAAATGTCACATTTGCATCAGGGCTGTCGTCACCACTGCCCTGAAAAGTCTAAGCAGAGTTTTGTGATGAAGCAGATTTTAGCAACAGATCCCGGCACAGCTTTTTCTGGGGTTTTTAAAGAGCATTTATGTTCTGGCTGAGTTTGTAGGATGTGAGCCCTGATTAGCCCCAAACCTTGGCGAGCGCCCAAWGCTCTGCGTGAAGGAGGGAAGAAGTTTGGGATGGTTTAGGTGGGAACTCAGTGAGGGTGGGACTGAAGGGGAGCCTGGAGGCCTCGGGCTGGCCTGGCTGAGCTGAGCACCTCTGGGGCCATTCCCACCTGATCCCTCCTGCCTCTGCTTCCCAGATCCCAAACATCCCGGGACATCCACGCTTGGCATTGATCCTGTCACCCATGAAATTGTGGGTTTGGTTTCTGTCCCGTGAGGAAATGGGCTGTTTCTCCTCAGGCTTGGCACCTCCACCCCAAAATTTAACTTCCATYCCTGCTGGGAGGTGCTGGCCCATCCCAAAGCACACAGGAGACGTGGCCCAGCCCCAGCCCAGCCACCACCAYGTCACCAAGACAATGGCACCACGCRGGTCCCAGCGTTGCTGCAGGCTCTGGAGAGTCCAGGCATGGAGAAGGAGCTCCCATGAGAGCTGGTGGCCTTTTTCCCACTCAGAAACGCAAGGCAGCCTTGGAGATGTCCCAGGGGGACAAACTTGGACCTCTGCTCCAGTGGGAGGTGTCCCCATCCAGGGCAGGGGGGTGGAACTGTGGGATCTTTAAGGTCCCCTCCAACCCAAACCATTCKGGGTTCTCTGCAGTGCTCCCTTTTCCTGGTCCCATCAACATGCCAGCAGAAATGTCAAATTTGCAGTGCTGGCTTGAACCAAACTGGTTGAAAATGAGCCCAAATCCTCCTCCAAAGCCATGGATCCCCCCACTCCCGTGTGCTTGTGGGACAGCAGCTCTGAAAGCAGACCAGGGGGTTGAGGGAAGGAGAACACATTGAGGAAGGGAGTTGTCAATCCCTGAAGCCCATCTTGAAGGGACAAGGCCTCTGTCACTCACTGACCAAGCTGGAACCCCCAGATTCCTTTTTCTCCATAACTGCCACTRAATTACTGACTAATGAGAATAATAGCCCAGTTCAGTGGATTTTTAGTCTGCACAAAACGGGAAAGAATATTTTCCAAATCCAGTGCTCCTTTTTCAGCAGTGCCTTGTGCCACGCTTTCCATCCCAAATCTCTTTCAAAGTGGCACCCACAGCCACCAAAGGTGAGGATTCCAAAAGTCAGGGGAAAAAGTTTAGTGAAGTGAATCAAGAAGATAAGAACTAAAACTGCTGCTTCACATTTTGTTCTCACTTGTGGTGTTCAGTGTTCAAACATTTTTGCTTCTCAGATGGGAAATTCTATCCCAACCCAACAATAAACAATAAGGTAAAAAGTTGGCATYTTTAATTTATTTCAATTTCATGGCATTTGTCTCAACACAGTGGGTCTTGTTTTAAAAACAGGCTTATCATTTGCATGAAGATGCAGTTCTTCATTGCATTTAGTTTAAAAACTGAACAAATAAACATCCAAAAGAGGAAAATTAGGGAAGAAAATGAACTGTCAGCACAATCCAGCACAGAGCTTTGTAGATTTGTGCTCAAAGTGGRTAATTATGGTCACCCCTCACCCCTGACGTAGCAGGGAGATGTTACACCAGGTCTCATTATCCTTGGTGACAGCACTTATTTATTTCAACRTTCGAATGAATATGTATAGATCACTGCCCTGAAACACAAATGCTGCCTGAGGGAGAGGTGGCTTGGGGAGGTGACTCCCAGCAGCAGCCACAATTACCCAAAGCTCCATCACAGCCTTTCCCCTCTGTCTCCTCTCTTTTATTCCCATTTCTCATTGCCAGGCGTTGAACTGAGGACATGGGATGATGCTGCAGGGATGGGTTTTTCCCTGCACACTCATTTATGGCTCTGCCTCCTTCCCTGGGTGATGCTTTTGGTGCTCTCCCCTGAAACCTCCCTGCRTCCTTTGAGAGAGCAGCTTGTCCGTGTGCCACATGCTGAGGTTGAAACATGCAGCCACGCTTGTGATAATTTAACTGGTTTAGAGTTTTATTCCCAAAAAATGCCTCCCAAAACCTGCTTTTCCTGGTGAGGCATATTCCCATAAAAGTGTGTTCATCCCTACACCTCACTCAAAAGCTTGACAAGGCTTTTCCTGCCTATCTTAAGTGACTAATTCCAAAGAGAAATTTACTTATCAGCAATGATAAGTGAGTAATTGTTTTATAACTTAAAACCCCGAGGAATATTGCTGGAACAAAGTGCAGTGCAGATGCTGCTCCTTGCAAGAGCATCCACACAAGTTCCAGTAAGCAGGAATTGCCTTTCCACATCCATCCAGGTTCTTTGGGAAACCAGAGGTGYACAGCAGGGTGAATATCCTGCTTTGCCAGCCCCAGGGATGGAAGTTCCTGATCACCTGTGGTTAAGTGGTTTCCAACACTTGATTCCAACACAGCCCGTCCCATGCTTTCTGCCCTCAGAGATCTGATCCTTTCGTGACCTGGCTGCTGCTGCTGCTGCTGGACTCTCCTTTTCCACCTCAGCAGACACCCTGAGCCCCGATTCTGCTGAAATGGCAATGCCAAAGCTCCCTGTGGATGGAGCAGGCGATCCTTGGACCATCAGGGTGGAGGTTTTCTTCTTGAAAATCCCTTCCCTTAGGCTTCATGTGCGTCCCCATCCTGCCCATCCTTCCTTGCAGCTGCAGAGAAGCCAGAAAGTCTCTGTGTGTGCTCAAAACCCGTCTTTGAGAGAGGTGAAACATTTCTTTGGGGGTGCAGCAAAGCAGCAGCTTCAGGGCAGATTTTTCCCACTAGCGAGCTTTCCCTCCTTTTTTAAAATTATTTTTCCCCCACAACAGCCAAGGAGCTTTTGCCAGAATGTGTTTTCCACATGTTCCCTATTAGTCATGCTCTCTGTCGTACAAATCTGTTACCAGTGCCACAAGCTGATGCTATTAATTTACTCCCAACCGAGTCCAGCGCTCGGCAGCAAAATTCCAGGCAGCGTTCCTAAAACCAGACCCGGCGGCTTGTTTGGATCTAAAACCAATGCCCCTCTCTCGCCTGGTGTGCTTGTGGAGCACCTTCCCGGCTTCTGCCGAGGGCAGGAGGGTCGGGAAAGGCGGCGGGTCCGGCCCGGGGCAAAGGCGGGGTCTGACAGCGCCTTAAATACAGCCCGAGCGCTGGAGCGGCTGCACCGAGCCGGCGGGACTTTATCGGGGCAAGGCGGAGGGGCTGGAGGACAGGAATGCCGCTGGAGGAGGGAAAGCCACCGCGASAAACACCATGTCTCTGTAAGTGGATTTTCTTTCCCCTCGCTGTTTTCCCGGCAGGGCAGGCGGCAGTGCGCGAACCGTGCAGAACGGAAGGGCATCCAGCTAGCACACATTTAAGGGTTTTTATCGTTCTTTGGCTTATTTTAGACTCGGGTTTTAAAAGTTTTCCCGGTTCCTGCAATTGTGCCTGCGGTTGTGTAGAGGGGTCAGTGGGTTTGGGGCAGTAACCATGGTGGGTATGTTGAGCCAACAGCTCGTTCCTGTCCCGGCTACACAGATTGACTGCTTCAAGTGTTGCTGGTGGTTTGAGCCATCCAGTCCCTCCTTTGTAGCTATTTTGAAGTGAAACTTGTACCCTGTGTGTTTCATGAGCAGTATGTGAGCTAATCTGGAGGTGGCCTGTGATGATGGATGGGTGAATGAGAGGATTTCAAAACCGGAGGGATGTGGGTCCGTTCTTTGGGAGATAATTCAGCTACATGAACAACCTCATCATCTACCTGCTGCACATCCACACAGATGGGTTTGGGTTGGTTTCTTTTTTTTTCCCAGACTGCACAGCTTTCACAGAGGAATTGGGTTTGCAGCAGGTGGAAAGATGCAAAAATCCCTGTTCTGTGCTTTGATGGTTGGGATTGTGAGGAGACCAGACATAGCCTTTTCCTGGTGTCAACCCATTCATCAGCACTGTGAACATATCTATCCTTGGAAGCTTGTTTTATTTAAATTTATTTAAGATTTATTCCAAAACATCACGGTGCACTAACCCCCACCCSAGCAATTAAAAACATTGAAATTTCACAGTTTAGTCTTTGTGAGYCCTAAAACCCACTGGAAGTTTAACCAAACTGATTTGCGGGGAGGGGATTTTCCCTCATTTCCTTCGGCTCCTGSTCTCAAATATGAGGCTGAGGTGGACACACAGGGGTGCAACATCAAGGTGTGATCCCGCACGCAGCGGGGTTCCAGGAGCACAGGAACAGCTCAAGGCTGTTTCCTGCAGATGTTCCTGGAGATCCAGATGTGCACAGAGGGCTGAGCTGCAGGGGCAGTGGCAGGACCCACAGCTCCGGGTGGTGGCTGGCAGCCAGGGATGGTCTTCTCAAAGCAACCACTCAATTTCTGTAATTTTGTAATTTCTTTCCTTTTCCTTAACCCAGGGAGCATTTTATTGGGTGCTCCTTCCTAAAATGTGTCTCCCAGAGGAGAAAGGGGGTGCTTTGCTAACAACCTAGGCAGATTTCCGTTCAAAACTTGAATATTTACTCCAAAAGCTGTCACAACCTTGRTCARACCYYCCYKKYCCMAAMCCMRGRAAACAGCTCCTGGGTGGTCAGTTGGAGTTTTGGGWATTGTGTCCATGGGTAACACTTGAAAAATTGGTGTGAGTTTCCCTTTAGGGTAACACTGAATTTTGGATGAACTGCTCTGCAGGACATTCAGAGTGCATTTTTAAGGACAGTTTGGGGCTTGCAGCTAGTTTGGGGTGTAGATGGGAGCTGGTGGGGGGTGAACACCTGCRTGAGGCAGCCAAGGTGGGGCTGGATCCAGACCCAGACGCTCCACAGACAGATGCACCATGCCCCACACCCAGCAGGGTCTTCCCTTCCCAGCCCCCATCAGCTGGAGCTTGGCCGAGTGCCTGCATTAATCCTGCAAATCTTTCAACGCCCCAACCTGCTCATATTGAAGGTGAACACAACAGAGGAAGGGTTACAGACCCCTGAGGGTGTATCCACTGAAAGGAAGCAAAAAAAGGCACTCAGAGAGGGAACTTTCCCATCTCACCCCTGAATGAGCCASATTTCCTCAATAAATAAAGAATATCTCTGTGGGCATCACTTTCCATGTCCTGCAGTGGTTGAATTGTCCCACCTGTACTGACCAAGGCATCGTTTTTGGGGCAGGAAATGGGGATTTTGGCCCCAGCAGCTTTGAGGGTTGTTGCTCTTCACCTGGTATGTCGAGGGCAGGAAGCAGAACTTCCCCACCCCTCCTTCTGGTTCATCACCCAGCTGTTCCTCTCCTCCCTGCCTCAGTTTCCCCAGCCCCAGGACAAGAATAGCACCATCTGCAGAGCGCTCCCACAGGCTCGGCCCGGCGTGTGAAGGCTTGGGGGCTTGGGTTCGCAGGGGATTTGTTTGATCTGGAAATAGCAGGGTTAGAAAATTCCATCGGCCTGCTCTCGWGAGCCCTCGACGGGAGGGCAGCGCGACGGCGAGCGCGGAGCGAGCGGCTCTGCTTGGCTCCTGTCCTGGGAAGCAGCGGGAGCAGCAGCGCATTCCAGAAGGGTTGGATGTGGAAAACGGAGCGGGGCACGTTCCCCTTGCTGCCCCTGCTGTGAGGGGCCGTGCTCCTGGCTGCTCCCACCCTGCAAACCCTGCAGCAGTTTTGTGTCTCTGGTGGTGCAAAGCCAAGTTGGGACCGGGCTTGTATCTTGTGGCATCATCGAACCAGGTTGGGATGAGGCTTGGAGCAGCCTGGCTTGATGGAAATTATCCTTCCCCATGGAACAAGATGATCTTTAAGGTCCCTTCCGACCTCCAAAAAGTTACAGGATTCTGTAATTCTCTATGATCATTTCCCCCCACTCAGCCATGYTCACCCAGCATGAAGAGTTAGGCTTGATGTCCATACTCTTTCCACAGCTCCTTTCTCTTCCCCCAGTGCTCTTTGGGTCTGGCTTTTCCTATCACTCATCTCCAGGTACCTGCCAGGGCTGTGCCAACCAGGCACWGAAATATCTCCTGCCTTTAGCACTGCCTGAGGTCACCCAAGGAGCTTGGGCTGAGGCCCCACTGCAAATTAAGCTAAACACAAAATGCCTAATACAAGCTCTTCCTCCCCAGCTGCCCAGGTCTCCTAATAAATGCATGGGTTTCTCTTGAAAGCTTCTCAAGGTTTATTTTTGAAACAGTCTGTATTTGATTAAAGTTTTGTTTTGTTTTGCTTTGTTTCTAGAGGAACTTAAAAGGGCCATCAGCCTGTAAACATAAATATTCYCATTCTTTCGCTGATTCTTTGCATTTTTCTGGGTTTGCTAATGAAAGATGTTTCRGCAGGGCAAGTCTCTGTGATGTGGGAGCATCCTCCACTGCTCCAACCCTGACAACCCTTTCAGGGGAGAAATTTTCCCTGATATCCCATCCAAACCTCCCCTGGCCCAGCCTGAGGCCGTTCCCTCTCCTCCTGTCCCTGTTCCCTGGAGCAGAGCCCGACCCCCCTGGCTGCCCCCTCCTGTCAGGGAGTTGTGCAGAGCCACAAGGTCCCCCCGGAGCCTCCTTTGCTCCAGGCTGAGCCCCTTTCCCAGCTCCCTCAGCTGCTCCTGGGCCTTCATCCCCTTCCGCAGCTCTGTTCCCTGCCCTGGATATGCTCCAGCCCCTCAATGTCCTTCTGGTCATGAGGAGCCCAACACTGACCCCAGGACTGGAGGTGTGGCCTCAGCAGTGCCCAGCACAGGGGATGGTCACTGCTCTGGCCCTTCTGCTGGCACGAGATGTGATCTCACAGCTGCGGTGTTTTATTCCCCCCTCTCCCCGCAGGTTTTAACTGAGTAGCCCTTATGACCAACATGAGCTGGAGCTTCCTCACCCGCCTGCTAGAAGAGATTCACAATCACTCCACCTTCGTGGGGAAGGTCTGGCTCACCGTGCTCATCGTGTTCCGCATCGTCCTGACGGCGGTGGGGGGYGAGTCCATCTACTCCGATGAGCAGAGCAAGTTCACCTGCAACACCAAGCAGCCGGGCTGCGACAACGTCTGCTACGAYGCCTTCGCGCCGCTGTCGCACGTCAGGTTCTGGGTGTTCCAGATCATCATGATCTCCACGCCCTCCGTCATGTACCTGGGCTACGCCATCCACAGGATCGCCCGCTCGGCCGAGGAGGAGAAGAAGTTCARGGGCTTCAAGAAGAAGAAGCAGTTCGCCCTGAACTGGCAAGCTGTGCACAACATGGAGGATGCCATGGAGGCCGACGAGGAGGAGCCCATGATCTCGGACGATGCAGCCGAGCACGAGAAAGCCAAGGCCAAGCCCAAGTGCAAGGAGCCGCAGAAGCACGACGGGAGGAGGCGCATCCAGSAGGAGGGACTGATGAAAATCTACGTCTTCCAGCTCCTCACCAGGGCTTCCTTTGAGGTTTGCTTCTTGATAGGGCAGTATTTGCTCTATGGCTTCGAGGTGGAGGCTTATTACGTCTGCAACAGGGTCCCTTGTCCCCACACCGTGGACTGCTTTGTGTCCCGGCCCACGGAGAAGACCATCTTCCTGCTGGTGATGTACGTGGTGAGCTGCCTGTGCCTGCTGCTCAACATGTGCGAGATGTTCCACCTGGGYTTCGGGACCATCCGCGACGCCATCCGCAACCGCAAGATCAACAGCTTCCGGCAGCCGCCCTACAACTACGCCTACCCCAAGAACATCTCCTGCCCGCCCGAGTACAACCTGGTCGTCAAATCCGAGAAGTCCACCAAGATCCCCAACAGCCTGATGGCCCAYGAGCAGAACTTGGCCAACGTGGCTCAGGAGCAGCAGTGCACCAGCCCRGACGAGAACCTGCCGGCCGATCTGTCCACCCTGCACAAGCACCTGCGGGTGGCCCAGGAGCAGCTGGACATCGCCTTCCAGAGCTACAGCAGCACCCAGGCCAACACGCAGCCTTCTCGGACCAGCAGCCCCGCCTCGGGGGGCACCGTGGTGGAGCAGAACAGGGCCAACACCGCCCAGGAGAAACAAGGTGCTAAACCCAAGGCCTCCTTGGAGAAAGGCAGCTCCAGCAGCAAAGACGGGAAGACGTCTGTGTGGATATAACTCTGTCAGGAAGGCGAGAGGGCGGCCTGAGTGGGGTTTTTAGTTCGCTTTGTTTCTGGTTTTTGGTGTTACCGTGTGTTTGTTTGCAGGGCATGATTTCTGTGTGGCAGTCAGGAGGGTGAAGGAGTTTCGGACCGATTCAGTGCTGTCTTCCAGTGCGTTAACAAAAGACATTTCTTCCCTGTTTCCAAYGTGTTCTCCAGCTGGGAACTTCCAGTGAGTAACAGCAAACCCCCCACACCTCCCAGCCCTTGGATCATCACTGGAGCCCCCTACAGAGACTGGACAATGCGCTGTGGTGCAAAGAGGAGCTGCTGCCGGCTCGGGAGGGCAGTCAGGCTGACCGGGATCAGCCACCCTCCTGCACGGCACGGCTCGAGTGCTGCAGGCCAGGCAGTGTTTAATTACTAAATACCCTTAATCAAATTAATTTCTGACCCTTTGATAAGAATACCACTGACCCATTGCACGGACCTTCCTGGCAGGCTCACAGCTGACCCCTGCCCAGGCTGGCAGATGCCAACGAAGGCGTCGTTGGATGCTGTGAGCCAGGAGCTGGCACCCACATCAGGTCTGGGGCAGGAACACGGTGACTGCCTCACACAGGGAGACATAAAACCAGCTCAAGGCTGAAGGTTTCATCTTTCCTTCCTCTGCATCAAAGCAAAAAGCAAATCCGCTCCCACCCTCCAGAGCAGGAGTGAGCAGTGACATTGCGTCCTACCCGTGCCTGTGTAGCACTTGCTACAGATGTGATGGGAATCGTTGCAGTTACAGAGTTTTTAACAAACTGCTGCTTCACATCATCAGAAAGTGCCTTTATGCAACCAGGAAAACAAAAGCGTAAAGGGTTTCGGCTCCTTTGCGTTCTCAGTTTTAGCAGGGATCGGACGATCGGCGTTGGCAAATTTTTCTGATTAATCAAGGGAAATCACTGTTGGCAAATTAGTTTTTCTGATTAATCAAWCCCTTATAAATAGTGGCAGATGGCAGATCTATGCATAGCGTGTCTCTGGTGTGTGTGTGTGTCCGTGTATAGATGCAGACACGTGTGAACACGTGTGTGTGAACATAGACATAGAGAGGTAGGTGTAAATGTAATATCAACCCYCCGCTCCTTTGACAGCCTTCCACCTGCCCTGGTAAAACCCAGCTGCTTCAGGACTGGGGCTGACCTTGTCCAGGAACAGTCCTGGGCCTTCTGGCCTCCAGCCCCACCTGGGGAACTGGGAGGGTTCCCACACTTGCTCGGGGGGCTTTGCAGAAGGTCTGGCTTCAGTGGGGACAGGACCAGAACAGTAGCAGGAAGTTTTTCCCGAATKTACGGGGAGTTTTGTTCAGCTGGGCTTGGCTACAGGGTGGTTTTGATGCACTTCCAGTACTTTTGGTGCACATTAAAATCAAGCTGCTGAGCTCCAAGGCTCCTACTCTGCTTTGTCAGGGTGGTTTTGCCACCACCACAGGGAACCCAAAGAGGCAGAGCCTTCAAGGTCAAGTGCAGAAGAAGTAAATCCTCCCAGAACATGGCACTGTCCCCATGCCCAGCTGTTCCCTCAGGCTGTGCCAGTCTCCCTGTGCCAGGATTTCTTATCCACTGGAGTTACAGGGCTTCTCACTGGGCATCACTCTCACATCCTTGAGATTGGTCCCTGAAAGCCCTGAGGATGCCTGCTCCTCACGTGTCTGGCCCTGTGGCCTTTTTTGGGAACAGGCAGAGAATGTGGATATGCCCTCCAGCCCCGGGAACCTCAGCTGAGCTGTGCCATGCGTTAGACAACAGTCCTGGAAGCAAAACAGTAGAATTAAAAGGATAGCAGAGAAAAACCCTACRAGGTACCCAGCAGCAAATGTTCACTCTGTGGCTTTGTGTGACAGTCTGGGGAACACTTCCCTGGTCSTGCTGAAGGCAGTGGTGAAATGGCTGGAATGCTGCTTGCTCTTGCTGCCTGAGATCTTCCCCTCACAAACGGATAACTGGATCCAGGGGGAGGATCAGCACAGCAGCAGCCAGSAGGAACATCCATCCGTCCATTCCTGCTGCGAATTTTGAAGGAAAGGATCAGAAAATTCGTGTCACGGTGGTGGGGAGACAAACATATCCAGCTGCTCTGTTTGTCCCTGTCCCATGTGTGGGAATGTGCTCTCTGTGGCTGGGGATGTGCTGGGCAGAGCAGGAGAGGCTGGGTGCTCACAGGGCTGCTGTCACCTGCCCAAAATACCAGTAGGGCCACAGCCCAGACTGCTGGGGAGGAGAGAGAGCTGATCCTGGGTGGGAATTTGCTCCCTRGTCACTGCAGCTGCCCAGGACACGAGCTCATCCTCCACATCAGTGGGACTTKCTTTTATTCCCAGCCCTGTGTCCCATGGGAAACCATGTATATTTAAAGATGTGATCCCGAGGGAAGGATGGAAGCTCTGAGGATCACCATGGCTGGATGCTGCCTGGGTTCCTGATTCCTGTTCCATGAGCARCAACACCACAGCCCCAGATAAACTCGTCCTTCCCACACGGTGCTGGAAGGCACCATCCTGTGCAGGAACCATGATTTTGGATTTCTCCTGCCCCTACCAGTGACCTCCCTCCCTCAGCACCAGGGCTGAGCATTTCCTGGTGACTCAGAGCTGCCCCTCAGCTCCTGCTGACCTGCAGATSCCCCCCTGAGTCACCACACCAGGGACAGGAATGTGGCTCTGGCTCCAGGAAAAAATCTTGGCAAGTGTCTCATTGTGGGGAAAACGGGGAGCAGATTTTAAGACAAAATTCCGCAAACCTGGTCACAGAGACCTGATCAACTCATGAAACCCAGWCTGTACTGCAGGGCTGTGCCTGCTGCCCCAGCAACGCAGGTGGGCAGTGCCCATGGGAGGAGATTCCAGGTTCAGAGCAGGAGGGTGGGGAAGAACCAAGGATCTTCCTTGCCAACTTGCCAACATCAATGGGTGACGTGAATCCTCTCACTGCAACCCCATCGAGACATGGAGAAGTCTCATGCTTTAACCTGTTTGGGGACTCTTTTCACCCTCAAATCTGCTTTAAGCTAAACACCTCTAGTCTCATCAAACKTTCTCCAAGGGCTGTTTTTTCTAGCATGGTTTTCCCCGGTGTCTTTGAACCAACACCAGCCACTCCACATCTTCCCAGCAGCGTGGCAGTGCTGGTGTTTGTGCTACCTTCCCTCCCTGCTCCTCCTCATGCACCCTGGTCCTCCCCAAAACCCCAACTCCTGCTGGCCTGGGGATTGCTCCCCTCTCCAGATGTGTGGCTGCACAGTGGGCACCTTCCTGCCATCCTTCAAAGCCCCTWTTTATTGTCACACCGCAGTCCCAATGTGCTAGGAGGGCTCTGAGTGACCCGTGGKTCCTGCAGGGGTTTGGAGCTCTCCCCAGCTGGTGTCACCCTCACATCTCATACGCACACCGTTTTCCATAGGGAGGGTCAATAACTGCAATATTGACCAGTCCCAGATGCAGGGCAGACTCTTGGGGGATCAGTAAAGCCCCTCACCAGGCAGGGGCATGGGGTAACCCCTCCCAGCCCCGCTCACCCCTCAGGCCTGGAGCACTTCCCTGCCTGACATCCCTTCCCAGCGGGAGCTGAGCCTGCTTTCCCACGTTTTTCACAGGGACCCAAGCACAAGGGAGCATTCCCAGCAGGAATGCTCTGGTGTCATGGGTGGCTGGGAGGTCCCAGCCAGCCTGGAGGACACTGCTCATCCTCTGAGCCTGGGGAGGATGGATCCCAGTTCTCCCAGATCCCATCTGGGCCCCACACTGRGCAGACAGCCCCAGGAACAGAAAAGATTATGATTATTATTATTATTAATGTTATATATATTGATTTGCTCACTTCCTCCCTTCCTCCTCCACTCTGTGACCTCAGAATCCTTTAGGATGTTGCATCTCTCCTCCAAGTCACTGCCACTACGGTGACCAAATGCAATGATGACTCTGCAGGAATRACTCCTCTCGGGGCAGGAGCAGCAGTCAATTCTTTTATCAGTGTCATTTTGGGCAGGAAAAGGACAGAGCAGCAAAATATTCACAGCCACAAGCAAAATCCCCACCACAATCATTCCAAACCCAACCAGCAGCTCGAGGGGTTTTATTTAGAGGACAGAGCATCAACCATGGAAGAAAAGCCAATGGTTTAATTAATGCTTTGCTTTTTTCCCCCGTTTCTCCAGGTAGCAGTTTTGTCCACACACAAGACAGGTTTAGCTTCGTGGCTGAACTAATCATAAATGTTGACTCTCTCGCTAAACTTGGTCGGATAAAGTGCCCACACTTATATTTCTCTTCTTACCATTCAGGGCCAGGAATGTCCCACAAAAGCCAGATTACCTTCTTGCTTGCATTGCATTCCACTGGGAAATACTTGAACTTAACTCAAGGCCATAACCAGTCTGTGCTGTTACAAAGCGTCTGGGATTGTTTTTTGGGGTTTGGGTTTTTTTTTTTTTTGGTTGTTGATTTTTTTTAAATGTACTAACTGTATTTGTACTAGAAATTTTTGGAGTATGAGGTTGAATCTGTAAGTATTTTTCAGTGTAAATGTTACATCTGGGCTGTAGTTAGAATTTTAAACACTGGTCAAAAGAGAAAGAGACATCARTCCAACTCATCTGTGGAGTGCAACTCTATTCCACATCCATTACTAATAATATGGAATAAAACTTACATTTTGCTACAGTACGTAAAGCGTGCGATGTTTGCTTGAGAAGGGYTCTGAGTGCTGAGAAGAAATTCTCCTCCATCTCTGATTTGCCTGTTTTAGCCACGCAGGAGCTCTGTTTTCCCTGGTATGGCTATAAATCATCACAGAATAGTTTTGCCTTAAGGAGCAGTTGACCTTCGAGTTGTTTGGGATGTGTTGTCTCCCTGATGAATCACTGCCTGCAGATCCCTCAGGCACAGAGCTCAAACTGCTGAGGGAGGCCTGGGCTTTCAAAAGCAGCAAAACTTTGGGGAATCTGGGAGAAACTGATGATTCAGGCTGAGCAAATGATGGGAAAACACTTYGTGAGACAGCCTGGCTTTCTACCCACCTCGATTTTTGCTCCTCCCAGTCAATCACAGGCACTGTTCAATTGCATTTTTTCCCTCTCCAAAAAGTCCTCAGGAAAAAAAATTCTGGACTCCAACATGCATTTTTTTTTCTGTTTCTCTGGAAGCTGAACTAAGTTGACAACTTCTTTGGCACAAGCAGGAGCCAGGGAAGAGCCAAAGCCAGGTTGGACGGGGCTCGGAGCAACCTGGTCCAGTGGGAGGTGTCCCTGTCTGGGGGTTGACACACACTCGCAGGAGGGGGAATGGCAAAAGCAGCCCCCATCCAGCAGAATTTTGGGAGCACACAGAGCAATTGCAACCCCTCCCATTTCTTTGGAAAGCCAGACTAAAACTGCCAGTGACTCTGCAGTTCTCTCTGGGATCACAACTTTTCACCGGCTGCTCCACGCTTCAGACAGAATTCCAGTCACAGAATCCCACTGGCTCCTCATCCCTTATTCTAAAAAACTTCCCCTCAGTCCCACCAGCAGGATCAGAATCCTAAAGGCTGGAAAAGCCCTCYAAGATTATCRAGTCCAACCATTATCCSAGCACCACAACCATTAAATCTTGTCCCCAGATGCYACACCCACGWGGTGCTTAAACATTTCCAGGCATAGTGATCCCACCTYTTCCCTGRGCAGCCTGTTCCAATGCYKGACCACTCTTTCAGTGAAAAATTATTCYSTAATATCCAATCCAAYTCAGGGCAACTTCAGGCTGTTTMCTGCATCACTTTTTCCCTGAGAGAAAAGACTGACTCCCACCCTCCTTTCAGAACAGCCCTTTGGATGCACAAACTCACTCCCTGCAAACTTGGCTGCCACTTTGCTCTATTCCTGCCTGTGTCATTGCAATTTCCCCCTCTCATTACTGGTCTTTGCATTGCCCAGGCCAGCCACAATCTATGTTTTCCTCTCCAAGACTGTGGGATATTGTCCCAGAAGTGCATCTATGGTTTACCACAGCCCCGTGTCCCAGCTGCCTGTGGCTGATCTCCCAGGGCACAGCTCAGGGAATATTTARTGCACAGGGTTTGGGATGAATAATTGCAGCTCACGTGGGTTTATGGGTGAGGGTTTGTGCTTAGCACACCAAAAAAAGCTGGAGAAAATGAGTTTATTGTGCCAGAGTTAACCCACAGGGCTGGCTGCAGAGGTTACCCCTGGTGAGGATGAGTTAGGGACAAATAAATGCCACGGATGAGCCCTCACAAGTGGGAGCCTCAGGCTGTCCAGGGTTTCGGGCAGTGGGAGAGCAGAGAATGGAAAGCTGATGGAGCAGGAGGCTGCAGGCAGCTTGTGCAGCCTCCCAAGGGCTGATGAGGGACAGAGAGGGAATGTGTCCCTTGTCACCATCCTCTGAGTGTGGGAAGGGATCCTGAGCCACCCTGACACACCTCACTGGATCAGAGATGTTCCACTGAGGAGGRATTTTTCCCTTTGGGACAGGCCTTAGCCAGGGATGTTGTGCCTTGTCATCCATGCTCTCCTTCCAAAAAAAAACCCCACAGAAATTACAAAGCTTGTGGGGAGGATCCATCAGGGGTAGTATCAGAATACCAGAATGGTTTTGGTGGGGAGGGACCTTAAGGCTCATTTCATTCCAACCCCTCTGCAGGGAAGAACCTTCCACTAGAATTCCACACCTTCCACTAGAATTCCACACCTTCCACTAGAATTCCACACCTTCCACTAGGTATTAATGTCATGGAAGCTTTGGGAATTGTGCTGTCCCTCCAACCAGGCTTCAGGTCCCCCAATTTCAGTGAAGATAGGCACAGACTCACTGAGGGCTGACACAAACCTTCCCAGGGCTCTCAGTTTTGCAGATCTGCACAATTTGCATTGTCTGAAAGCATCCCCTTAGCTGATTCAATGTTCTAAACTGACAGAGTTCTCATTTCTGTCACCGAAATAYTGAAATCTGACTTCACTGTCTGCATAACTCCATGAGAAAAGAAAAGCAAACCCAGAGGAAAGGGAATAAAAGCAGTAGGAAGTARTAAAACAAATTAAGGTGCAAAGTGGCTGCCTGAATGTTTCTTATTTTCACTTTTATCTCCCTTGCTGCCCTTTCAAATATCTCTGTGTGGTTTAATACAACACCTGTGGGAGTGCAGGGAGATGGCAAAGGGCTGCCTGTGGGATGGCCACTGCTGGTCCCCATGGCTTGGTGGGTAAAGGAGGGATGTGCAACAGGTAAAAAAAAACTCCAAAGCTGGATCCACATGCAGGTCCATAGTGCCTGTTGGAGCTTGGACTTTCAGCCCAGCTGTTCTTCCAAACACATAATTTTCCCTCCTTCTGGCTTTTCAAAAAGCAAACCCAGATCCTGCTCCTGCCACATTCCCACCTGCAGGGACAGAAAAGAGCAGCACTGGGCATCAGCTCCCTGCTCCTTCAGCTGCATTTCAGCCACGCAGGTCACCTCAGCCCCGTCTTTGGTCTTTGACACACAACTCGTGCCAGCGGGCGGGCAGCGCACTCCACATGCCAAGGTCACCTCGAGTCACCTCTGTCACATCGTTATTTCTCCACCTGCAGGGCCAGCCCTGARTTCCACGATGAACACTCCGCATCCCTCGGCGCTGCCGGGAGCTGCTCTGTCCCCGGGACACGGGGATGTGTGATAAGGTTATCACTGCCGGGCACAGGGGAGAGCCCAGCCCTGCCCAGGACCAGCGGGGTGAACTCACAGCGCATTTCCAGCTCCGGGGAAATGAGTCTCCCTTCACTCAGGGCTCTGGGATCGGTGGGTTCGTGCTGATGCTGCCTGTCCTGGAGATTTTAGCGGGGTCCTTTGGGGCCAGGCAGCTCCCACTCCCTGGGAAGCGGGGCAGGATGGCCTCAAAMGCAATCGCAGCCACTGCAGAAGGGGAATCGCAAATGACAGCGGTGACTCACGGCTGTTCCTTGGACTGTGGGATGAATTCCAGCGCAACGAGCMGCAGCCAAACCCGGGGCTATGCAGGCCCTTCAGACTCCACTTCCCAGAGCACCGGGGAATGTTCCAGAGGGAGGCGAACAGCGCTCCAGCTCCATGATTTTAACAGGGGGGTTTAAACACAGGGATTCCCCATCCCTGAAAACATTSCAGGTCAGGTTGGGCTGAGGCTGTGAGCAGCCTGATGGACTGAACATGTCCCTGCTCCTTACAGGGGGTTTGGACTAAATGGTCTTTAAAGCCCCTTCCAACCCAAGCYGTTCCATGATTACATTATTTTATTCCTGTGCAATGCTTAGCAGAAAGTCCCACTGCCAAACATTATAATTTACTTTAAGATGGAGCCAGACAGTTTTTCCAAGGGTGTTAAAAGAGGATGGGGGGCAGCTGGTGGGTCCTGCAGAAATAAAACAGGGTCCTTTGGAGTCTCTTCCACCCTGACAGCCAAAATAGACTTAGAAGAGGAGAACAGGTTTGTATCCTGTTTTAGGATTTTAGGGATTTTAGGCTCGGCAGAGGCAGGAATTGAGGTGTTTTAGGAATGACAGGACGTGACAGTGCCATGGTCTAGTGACAKGGCGCTGCTCGGTCACAGGTTGGACTCGATAGCCTCGGAGGTCTTTTCCAGCCGGACTGATTCTCGAATTAAACGAGGAGCAGCCGCTACAGGGAGAGCTGGGCWGGGCAGGGCAGCCCCGGCAGCGCCCACAAGCAAACGGCGGGAGCGGGGGGCGCTTTGGACTGCTCCCCTCGCTCGCTCCAGGCCGGGGAACCGAGGGAGCAGCGGGAGGGCGGCGAGAGGAGTCCCAAATTCTCTTAAAATATCGCGGGGATCGCCAGACCCCGCTCGGTGCCGGGGCGTGGCCAGAGGGGGCGTGGCCATGGCGGTGGGGGCGTGGCCATGGCGGTGGGGGCGGGGCCCGGGCAGCGACTGAGCCTACGGGAGGGGGCGGGGCTGGAAGAGAAGGGGCGGGGCTGGAAGGGAAGGGGGCGTGGTCACTGTTTCGGGGCGGGGCCTGCGGGAGCGGTCCTCGCGGTGTCCCATCCCCGCCAGCAGGGGGCGCCCTGCCCGCGGACACGCACAAGATGGCGGCGGCGGGCGGCGGCGGCGGTGGGGGGAACCTCTGACGGCGCCGCCATGTTGGTGAGGGCACTAACGGCGCCCGGGCTGCGCCGGTGGTGCCAGGGCCGGCGGGGCGCGGCCGCCGCCTGTTTCCCGCTGAGCCGGGCGCTGCTGGGCGTGCGGGGCGCCGAGGCCGCCGTGTTCCTGCAGGGGCTGCTGACCAATGACGTCACGCAGCTGGTGGCGGCGGGCGACGCCCCCCCCGCGCTGTACGCGCACGCGCTGAACGTGCAGGGCCGCTGCCTGTATGACGTCATCCTGTACCGGTGAGACCAAGCGGCGCGGCGGCGGGGGGAGCTGGGCGGGACCATTGCCGAGTGGCGGGGGGTGGCTGCTGTCACCGCCGGGTGACATTTCCGGCTTATCCTACTACATCAACGTGCAAAAAGCGCTTCCATTGTGTGTGTTTGCCATCACCTGCCGCAGCCTCTGTGGGTCACCCCAGCAGAAAAGGCCGTARTAGCCCCACCGGGGGAGATGGATTCCCCATTTGGAGTTTGGGGACTGTGCCCAGGTCTGGGGTCAGGCACAGGAGGGACCTGGAGCTGCTGGAGCGAGTCCAGGGGTGACACGGGAATGTCCCAAGGGCTGGAGCCCCTCTGCTCTGGAGCCAGGCTGGGAGAGCTGGGGGTGTTCCCCTGGAGAGAAAAAGGCTCTGCCAACACCCGAGAGCACCTTCCAGGGCCTAGAGCGGCTCCAGGAGAGCTGGAGAGGGACTGGGGACAAGGGATGGAGGGACAGGACACAGGGAATGGCTTCCCACTGCCAGAGGGCAGGGATGGATGGGATATTGGAAAGGAATTCCTAGCTAGAGGGTGGGGAGGCCCTGGCACAGGGTGCCCAGAGAAACTGTGGCTGCTCCTGGATCCCTGGCAGTGTCCTAGGCCAGGCTGGACACTGGGGCTTGGGGCACCCTGGGACAGTGGAAGGTGTCCCTGCCCATGTCAGGGGATTGGAATGAGATGATCTTTACTGTCCCWTCCAGCCCAAACCATTCTGTGACAGTTCAACACAGCTGAACAGAGCTCCTCCCCCAGCTAAAATTCCCCTCACTGTAGGTAAGGATAGAGAATTCCCCATGGCCAGACCTGTTTCTGTCCCCTGGGAGAGGTGAGGGCACAGTTTGCTGGGAAAGAGCACAGCAGGAGGCTGAAAGAGTTCAGTTATTACACCATGGGGAGGTGGGTGCTGCTCCCTGTRTGCCACAAAACTCCCCAGATTTCTGGATTTGCACCAGGATCCTGATATAACAGCTCCTGCTGCTGTGGGGTTTTTTTTTTTCCCTGACCTTGGGCATGCTGCTTTTTTTAGGCTCCACGGGAGCACAGCAGAGGAGCCTCACATCCTGCTGGAGTGCGACAGCAGCGCGCTGGATTCCCTCCARAAACACCTGAAACTCTACAAGATCCGCAGGAAAGTCACCATCACTCCCTGCCCTGACCTCTCCCTGTGGGCTGTCATCCCCGGGGAGCAGCCTGGGGACACCAGTTCCCTCCCAAAATGTGCAGAGCAGGCTCTGCTCTTAACTCCTGACCCCAGGACACAAGTCATGGGCTGGAGACTGATCGCAAAGAAAGGAGCAAATCTGTCCGAGATTATCCCTGGGAGTCAGGTTGGAGACGTTCAGGATTACCACAGGCACAGGTATAAACAAGGTAAAGCCAAATCCTGTTTTGCACTGTGGATTTTGGGAGTCCATACATTGATACAAGGCGGGAATAAACTATAAAACCTGCATTGCTATGTTTTAATGCATTTAATTTGTTAAGAAATACAGGTATAAATTGCTACTTGGAGTGTTAAAGTGATCTGGTGCTTATAATTTTGGCAGTTTGGGTATAATTTTCTGTTACTCAGATTATGGGGATTGGTCAGGAATGCTAAAAGAAAGCCAGGATTATTCATTTTCTTAGAGAGAAGCTGCTGTGGTTTGAGTAATTTTGACTATTTTGGGATGACGCACAGCTCCGGTGTTTTGCTTGTTGCTGAGAAAGGAAAAGGAAACACCCACATCCGGTTTCCTAAAAATTTTGTGGCTGGATTTGCCAAGTAAACTCTGAGGCCAAGGGGAAGGCGTTTGATTGGAGAGGAATCTTGGTCTTGGGAGCCCCAAATGATTTTAGTGTGTCTGTGCTGATAAAGGATTAAATTAATTAGCAGAGCGAAAGGTGATGGTTTTGTGCTGAAACTGTGATCCATCAGGTTGTCAAAATGAATTGATAAAGAGTCAAACAAATCCAAGCACAGTTCTAACGAGGAGAATTTACCTCTTGGTTTTGTTCTTGTGTCAGGAATTCCCGAAGGTGTGAAAGATCTCCCACCTGGAGTCGCCCTCCCTCTGGAATCCAACCTGGCCTTCATGAACGGCATCAGCTTCACCAAAGGCTGCTACATCGGGCAGGAGCTGACAGCCAGAACCCACCACATGGGYGTCATCCGAAAACGCCTGCTGCCCGTCTCCTTCCCCGCCCCCCTTCCCAGCCAGGGCATTCCCGAGGGCGCTGAGATCCTCACCGAGTCGGGAAAGCCCGCGGGCAAGTTCCGTGCMGGGGGAGGAGAGCTCGGGATAGCCCTGCTGAGGCTGGCTCATGCCARCGAGCCGCTCTGCATAAACCTGGGAGGGGACAAAGTGCCCCTCAGTGCCAGCACACCCGAGTGGTGGCCCAAAGCTGCTGCCAAATAGRTGAGGAAGCACCGTTTGCCTTAGGGAGGGTCTGGTTTGTGTGGGGATTTGGGAAGGCTGGTGTTTGTGGTGTTTGATGGGGAGTCATTCAGGATTCCTCAAATTGGGACTGAACAGCGGGAACCCAAAGCTACRGCRGTCACTGGGCTGGATCATCCACCRAGTGCTGTGGAGAGACAAATCCAGSGAAATACACCTTTTCCCGAGGGTAATCCCCTTATTTAGGGGTACCACAGGTTGTTGGGTTGGTCCCTATGTATTTAGGGGTTGCCACTTGTTGTTGGTTTGGACCCTGGATGGATTTCCAGGCTGACACCCTGACTGTGCTCCGTGTGTGTTCCAACTGAAGCAACGGGATCAGGAGTTAGTTTCCCTGTTCCATGCACTGAATTTTTCTGTTCAGAATAACCATTCTGTGATTTGTTGGTTTTTTGGTTTTTTTTTGTTTTGTTTTTTTTTTCTTTTGCGTGGAGTTCGTGCTGCTCTTATTAAAATGTATTCTCAGGCTGAAGTTTTTTTGCTGTAATTGCTCCTTGCATTGAGCTTCCCAAACTTGCTGATGGGGCTGGCGTTTCTTCCCACCACTGGAATTGTGTTCAGGAAGAGGAACACCTTGTGCTTCATGTGTCAGACCTTGATTTTAACCCATCCCAGGTGAGAAAGGTCTCAAACTGTCCACCTGCAGTTGGAGTTTTCTCCATCCACCACCCCTGAGGGTTTTCAGAGCAGCCCAATGCCTTGGCATTTCTTTGYTTCCTGTTTCTGGCTGCCAGCACTCCTCTGCTTTCCCAATTTTCCTTCTTTCTGCAGTCACCATATTACTCCTGCTTCCAAAGCCAGCCAGCTCCGTGCCTCCTGACCCTGCCAACGTGCAGTGATTTATAGGATCCTKTTTATTTTTGTATTGCAATAAATCCATTACACAGAGTCACAATGAGAGAGGTGCCCAGGTGAGATCCCATTTTGACCAAAAAAAAACAACTAACATGTGCATGAACATTTTCAACAAAACCCGTCCAAAATCACATTCTGCCTCTGTTTCAGTGTTACTGTGAAAGGAATTTGTGAAAAATGTTGATATTGATTAAAACTTTATGGTTGCTGTAAAATGATTCTGTGGAATACCTCATTAATTATTGTCTGTGATTTAAATGTCACTCACCTGAAGGGAAGATGCCTTTTATTTGCCTGGTGTGAAGACACATCGCAGAATAAATGCTTTTTCAGTTGCTTGCTGACAAGAACCATGCTTTGGACTGTTGGTCAGGTGAGGGATTGCTCACAAAGTCTTTCTGCTGGGAAAATAAATGAAACTGGATCCTGCAGAGGCACAAAGGCAAGGCTGTGCTGCCCAGCTTGGCCAGAAGCAGCTTTTCCTCTCTGCCACCCATTGTGCAAAGCCTGCTYAGAATGGTTTTATTGTCCTGGGGTGAGCAGGGCCTGAACAAACACTGAATAAACTCCTCTGTTTGGGGAAGCCCTGAAACTTTTCTGCCTTAGCCACACGTTTCTTTTGTCTTTTTCATGGTGTTTGAGAGGCTCTTGTTGCCAGCAGCTGCAGGTGACACAGGGTTAGACACGAGAGAAGGTGGTGCTGAAATGGTGTTTGATGGTTTCTGGAAAAAAAAATGTAGAAATGGGGGAGAGGAGCCCCAATCCATATTATCCTTAAWTTTTTTATTCTCCCTCTCCACCATTCATGATTTTAGTTGGGTGAATTCTGGCTGGAAGGTGCTGGAGTTGATTTTGTAGGGTTTTTACCTCTCTGAGCYGTGCAAYTGTTAAGGCTGGAAAAGACCTCTTGGATCATCAACTCCAAATTAACCCAGCACTCCAAATCCACCACTCAGCCTTGTCCCCAAGTGCCACATCCACACATTTTTGGGACATTTCCAGGGATTGTGACTCCTTAGCTTCCCTGGACAGCCTGTTCAGGGTGTGACCTTTCCAGTGAGGAATTTTTTCCTCAACATGGACACGGTGGCYGGGGGGGCCTCTCAGGTGACCTGCTCAGATTCCAGCTCAATCCAARCAGCTGGGAAAAGTGGTCTCTTCTTGATCCTCTTTTTCTGTGTGTTTCCCCCTCTCTGCCTCAGTTTCCCTGTCCTTGAGTGGGATAAGCACTTGGAATAGCTCARAATCCCAATGGGATAAGACAGGAGTCACTGGTAGAGATTGCAGAGGAGAATACAATAAATGCTTTGTTTCAGGAAAAAAAGCTTTCATCTTTTATTCTGCCTTTCTAATTTCTTTTTTACATTTTTTTGGAGTGATGCTTGTCTTTATTGTTGGGTTTTTAATCTTTCCCGTCATAGTAAAATGCCAGGAAAAAAAGTTGTCTTGGTGTGGTGAGGAGTCCAGAAGAATGACTGATAATAATTCAATCTATTTTATATAAGTATAAATAAATATAGAAACATAAATATATATATAGTGTATATATATATATATATATATATATATATATATATATATATACATACTGAGTTATTAAAATCACTGCAATCCCCTATTAAAAACAGAATTACTCACTGAAGTTCACACTGCTGTGTCCAGGGAAATTTTGTGGGAGAGCTGCTTCAAGTCAGCAACTTCAAAAAGCCCTTACTAATATTTGTAGCTCAATATTAATATTTTGAGCATGTTTTCCTGCTGTGGAGACAGCACTAAACCCTTTGAGGCTTTCAGGGAGTGTCCAAATCCTGCCCAGATCATAGCCACAAATGGGATTTATTCCTCATGGCTGCCTTGATCCTGCTTTTCCACAAGACTCAGTTTCTCCAGGGTTTTCAGGGCYGGAAAATTTGGCAGCTTTCATCCCCCTTTCCCAACAATTCCTGCTGCTTTCAACCCTTTCCCTGCTTTTAGGTAGACTGTGAGCCATTCAAAGAAAAATATTGTGGGTTTTTTTTTGCTGTAACACACTCTTCTCAAGCCAGTGGAAATAATWTATGCCTCAACTGTTTTTGTGGGTTTGTGTCTGGATTTCCTCTTTTTCCCTCTGTCTCATCCAGGCCAAATGAATGTGGAATTCTGCTGCCTCCTCCCACCTCTAAAATCAGAGTTTGGACTTCAGTGCTCTGCTGCCAGAATGCTGGAAGTGTTCAGGCTTTCTGTTTTCCTTCATCCCTGCTTGAGATTTTTTATCTTTTCAGGTTTGAGGGGGGAAAAAAGAAGGGGAAATGGGTATAAAAGCTTCCTGTCTTGAGATTTTACCTTCTTATTCTCCAGTTGTGCTGACATCAGGCAGCTGGAGGAGCTGGAGGGTGACAGTCGCTGTCTGGGAATGTCATTGGAGGTTTTGGGAGAGAAACCCAAGGGGGAACAGCAACACAGCCACAAGGATTGAGGTTTTTAGGGAGAGCTGACCTCATTTCCTACTTAGTGCTGTGCCAGAAAAGCTGCAGAAAAATTTARTATTTGGAGAAGGTTGTGTGCTGTGTGCCACACTCATTCTGTTTTATCAGTGCAACTTTATTGTTCATATTTTGAAGTTTAATTTAGATGACTTAAATAAATGTATGTCAAGGGGCAGCTTTTGTGATTTTTTCCCCCTTTTTTATGTGACTTTTTCCTTTTAAATTTAGTTGGATTTGTCACATTCTCTTTTTTCCAGTCTCCAGGTTAATAACACTTGACTGATGGTGGACTCTACTTCCCAGCAGCTCCACTGTATTGCATTTTAACCAGGTTTGCTGTCATTCCCTTCAGAAAGATCAAGGTGGCTCTATTTGCCATTTCCATTGTCTCTGGATACATTTTTTTGCTTAAATTAAATTACATTTTCCCATTCTTTTTTGTAGGACTAAATATAGGGTGACGTGGGGGGGGGCTGTCAGGATTTATAAGCTGAGCTAAAACAAAGACCTTTGGAACAYAATGATTTTATTGAGGGAAAAATGTTTAAAAAGTGATAAAATTGAACTGTCACTGAGATACGTGAAAGAGGGGAGAAGGCAAGTCAGCTTAGCATGGAAGAAAGCCTTTAATGAAAATAAAATTTATTTTTAATTCTTTTTACAGCGCTTGATTTCTTTTTCATGKTTACACAGCTGGGATGATCCCACCTTCAGCAGGGACACAAGAACAGATGTGCCACCACCTCCAAAAAACATTAATTCCAGTGAATTATTGGAGATGCCAAAGCGTCAGATATACAAGAGGGGTAGAATCCTTYTACTATCAAACATGATATTGTTATTGTATCTTTCTAATAAAAGCAATTAAAATTTCCTCACTGGGTTGTGCTTCCTGATTACAGCTTAAATAGTTTTGGAAATATCAATATGTGTAGTATATTAATATATAAATATAGTATATATACACTAATATATATACTAATTATATCTATACTTTTATATGTGTGTAATTATATAAATACAGCATAGTATATATACACTAATATATACTAATGTAAAAACTAATACATAAATACTTTTATCTATATATAAGTATATAAATACATATAAATGACTATACACACTAGTATATATATTTATGCACATGTACTTTCATTCATATACTTTTATATTTGTATACTTTTTACTTATCTACTTTTATACTGATATTCTGTAATATATACTTTTACACATATATACTTTAAATATATATTTGCATCTATATACGCAAATTTTTATTTATATACTTTTATTTATATACTTTTATAGATATATACTTTAAATATATATACACATACATATATACATTCTATTATAGATATAATTTTACATATATACATTATATACATACTTTTACACTTACATGTATCCTTTTACACTCACATTTATGCACTTTAAATATATATATATAAATATATATACACAAATATATTTATATATATACACACATATATATACATATGTAGACACAGACTTATGTATATACTTTAAAAAAATATGTACACATTTACATGTAAATACAGAATAGTGATCACCTGAGCAGAATTTCCTGAAAATTGCTTCTGCTATTTGAGAAGGAGAAGCGGCATTTCCAACCCGCGCTCCTTTCCCATCTGGGGAGCGTTTCCCGATTAAACTCAGCTCAGCTGCGCTTTCCAGGCGGTGCCCATGAAACTCCGTGGGAAGGGGGAATCCTAAACCTGGGATCCGAGGGAAACAAAAAAGACTCCAATTCCCAGAGTCCTTTCCCATCCTGGCACTGCGGTGACATCAGGCATTACATGGCTGGGACTRGCTGGGGAGCGACAGCACCAGAAATGTAAGCTCGGCTTTTCCCCTTCTCCAGCGGGGCCTTTCTGCAGCCGAACCGCAGCGGGCAGGGCAGGACCGGCAGCGGCCGAGGAGCTCGGAAGGGTGTGTGGCTGAAAGGGGCAGGAGGGGACATCGCGGGACAAAAGCCAGCGCAGTTCGCCAATGCAGTTTGGGGACTCTSGGGTTGCGCTTTCCCTCSCGGGGCCGCTCCTCGCCCGCCGCCCCAAATCCGCCGCTTCTCCAGCGCTTTCCCGCTGCTTTTGCCTCCGTCCCGCGGCTCCAGGGGGTGGAGGAGACGCTTTTCCATAGCCTGGCAACAGAGTGCGTGTAGTAACTGAGGTGTGGAGCGGGGTTCCCCGCCGAGGGGACGGGAGCGACGCGGTGGCACCGGCGGGGACGGCTGCGGCTCCTGCCGGGCGCTCCCGGCTCCTCCCGGCTCCTCCAGCCCCTCCGTCCCCGCTGGCCTCTGCCGGGGSCAGGAAAAGCAGCCAGGGAATGGCTGGTGGGAGCCAACAGCTGCGCAGGTTTGTCTTGGAGCAAGTTGGCTCTGGCTGCGGGGTGAGGGTTCTGCGCGGTTCTGCTCTCCGGGAGGGATGCTCGGGGCGCCGGGAGGATGCTCGGGGTGCTGGCAGCGATGCCGGTGTTTTAGACAGCTGGAAAACCACCCAGGRAAGTGATTTCTGCACTGTAATGTTGGCTGAGGTTGTTGTGGTTTACAGTAAAGTGTTGCGAGTTACTCTCTCGGTAGTGCACAGTGATTTCTCGGTGCTTTGCAGCTCACTGCGATTGTGGGCGCCTGACAAAAATCATGTTTCTCCTAACACAAGTATTTTGTGGTGCAGAGCACCGGAGTCTCCTACCAGGAGATTTAAAAAGTTTTTTCCCAAAGTGAATGGGAAACTTGTGAATGCTTGCTGCCATCTTCTCCCTGAGAAGTGTAGTAACTTATCCACCGGGTAATTAAACAATTAGAAACTCCTCTATTTCCCTTTAGAAACGGTTTAGATCTCTGAGGTGACATTTGACAGTGTTTTGCTCAAATCTGTAATCCTGAGGATGCCTTTTTAGTACTTYGACAAAGTGAGGAGCAGGTCAAGTGGGAAAAGTGGCTTTATATCCAATCTGAGGAGTCTAATGAAATTAAGACACAAACCTCTTTGTAATACTTAGTGTGTCCTGATCCTTGTGCAGCTGATTGAAAAAAGTTCTGTTTATTCGGCCACATGTGCCAGTTTGTCACTTCAAACTGTGGTTTCTGCACATTCAGCAGTGGGTAATTCCAGCRTCTTTGTGTGTTTAAAAATATATTTGGAAAGACATTTTGATTTAGTGGAGTTTAAACTGTGCTGGATAGGCCATCTGTCAGAATGGATCTGGAGAAACATTTTGTAACTCCAGCTGGAATTTTACGTTCCTGAGCCAAAAGGTTTCTAATAGTACCAATAATTCTGTTTTACAGTGCAGGATGTTATCTACAAATCAGCACTTGAGGTGCCTTTGGATTATTTGACTTTAAAGCGAGTGGGAGTCCAGTAAAAACTCGTTACCTGTTTGTTTAATATTCCCTTGTGTTTCCCTGGACTACCAGGAGATAATGGAGTGGGACACGTGGTAGGAATTGCAAGTGAAGGTGAATTAAATTCCCTTATAGTTCCATGGGGCCTGCATAAAAAAATAAAATCTGAAACTATRGAGTAAGTGCTTTGGTTATTTTTACACACAAAAGTACTTAGAAATAGTGGGACTGGTGTGTTCAGAGTGCTTGTRGTTTTGGACAACAATTAAGGGTGTGCAGAGCTATAAAAATCTATAATTGAAACCAGAATCAGTAATTTTTTTAAAATAGTTTAATTGAGTTGCAGAGCAGGGCTTTGTTTCTAAACTACCTGCTGGCAAATTATTCCTTGTATTATTATTTTTTTTAAACCAAGCAAGAAGTTCAGTCAGTGGGGAGTTTATGAATGAGAAATTTGAATATAAATGTTGCTGAAATGTTCTGTGTGTTTGGATGGGGGTTTTTGGCTCAGGAAAAAGTACCTGCCAAAGGTGCCAGTGCATTGTTTCAAGGATGGAACTGAGGAGCAGAAATTGGAATTGGAATCTCTAATCCCAGAAAACTTTCTGCCATGTAGCTTTGGAAAGCAGATAGGCTTAAATATAAAATAAGTCCAAAAAAAAGGTGTGTTAGAGAGAAAGGTGGGTCTTTGAACTTTACACCTGATTCTGGAAACTGTAGTACAGGTGGAAATTTTTAGGCCTTCCCCATTATCTCCCTGAAATGCTGAGGTGATGTTTGAAATCACCTTTTTATTTGCCAGTGGTCAGAAAGCTCCTATTTGTCCCAGCCCATAAAGGCAAAGTGACAGCCACGGGCAGTCAGCACTGATAATCCCATTTTTTCTGAAGGAGGCTGRAGCACAGGGGCAGCACTCAGAGCTGCTCTGAGCACCTGTGTAAATTCTGAGCTTCKCTTGGACTCTCATGTGGGTTGTGAGACCTGAAAGCAGCACCTGCAACACTTTGGGAGTTTCCCATGATTTCAGGGAGTTCCTGTTTAGGGAGATTGATGGATTGTTCTTTAGGATATCCATGGGTGCTCTGTGAAACCCACTTTTAAAGTTGCAGACAGTTGGGTTGTGCTGTAGAGGTAATGATTAGCCAGATCAATAATGGGTATTATCTAATGTGTATTATYGTTACGTGTGCCTGGGCAGGAGAACAGCTGATAAATGAAGGAGTKAAGAGTGGTGAGATCCCACAAAGCAAAATCCAGGTTGGACATCAGCTGGGGCAAATCCTCAGTGCTGCAGTTCAGGAGTTGGGGTGGATCAGCCACGGTGGGATGTGGGMATGGTCTGACATCCCCTCATTCCTTTAGGACAGGAGAAGCTGCTCTGTCAGGTTTYAATTTATCTCAGTGTGGCTAATGCACATTTTATCTCAATTTATCTGACCATAAAAGCTGTCTTTCCTCAGTCAGAGCTTTGTGCCAGTGAAGGGGAAGCCTCAGCTTTGGACAGGGTGTTGGTTCGCTCACCTGGGACGTTCTGCTGTGTCCTGTAAGGGTCACACAGGGGACAGCCACAGCTGGACACTGCCTTGGGACAGGGGAGGTTGTGCTGCAGTGACTCAGAGTGAGGGGAAGGATGCAGAGGGCACGGGGAAGGATTTTGGAATCAGAACCAGCACCTGGAGCTCCTGGGAACATGGAATTGTTAAGGTTGGAAAAGATCTCTGGGATCATYGAGTCCAACCATGTGGCATATTCAGATCACTTTTTGAACACTGTGGTGGTTCCACCACTTCCCTGCCATCCTGCTMCAATGCCTGACCAACTTTTCAGGGAAGAAATTTTCCCCAATATCCAATCTAACCCTCCCCTGGCCCAGCCTGAGGCCGTTCCCTCTCCTCCTGTCCCTGTTCCCTGGAGCAGAGCCTGACCCCTTCCCAGCTGCCCCCTCCTGTCAGGGAGTTGTGCAGAGCCACAAGGTCCCCCCGGAGCTTCCTTTGCTCCAGGCTGAGCCCCTTTCCCAGCTCCCTCAGGAATTCTCCAGCTCCATCCCCTTCCTGGCCATGCTCCAGCCCCTCAGGATGTGCTGTCCCAAGGGGCTCTGCTTTTGTCACCATGGTTTGGGGATCTGTGGCAGTGCCAGCCTTGCCTTTGCCACTGACAGATTCCGAGTGTGAAGATGGAGTGGAGCCCCTGAGGCTTTCCCAGTATCCCCCAATATCCTCTTCTGGGATGGGATGGCACTGGAGGAGCCCTGAGTGTGTGAGATGGGGACACGATGGGAAGAGCAATGAGGGTGAGCTAGAAAAGAGTTTCATGCATAAATACAACTTTGACAGGTCTGGTAACTGTTCTCTCTCTTTTTTTTTTTTTTTTTAATCGTTTTTAAACAGGAGAAGCTGGTCCTTAGGGATCTGATTCCTGCCTGCACGCAATGCTGCACGCTCCAGAGGACAGAACCTGGGTGCTGATAACAAGGACATGGTCCCAGTGCCACCCCTGGGCACTGCCAGCCACAGGTGAGTCCAAAACCTGAACTTTCTCAGGGAAACAGAAATGCCAACTTGTGTGAGGTGTTTGTTTTATAGTGGATAACCCCATTGCATAAAAACCTCAGTGCCTGGAGGGAAAGTTGCATCCCAGATGGAGCAGCTTTCCCTGTTGGTGTCAGGACAGGAGAAAAATCCTCACATGCTCTTTGTGTCTGTGAGACTCACCACCAAGTCCTGAGCAACTGCTGGAACTTACCATGGACCCAAAAAAAAAAAACTCCAAAAAATCTTTGTGGGACTCACCACCAAGTCCTGAAGAACAACTGCTGGAAGTTACCATGGACCCAGAAGTCCCCCCAAAAATTATGAGTATTTAGATGTTCATGTCAGACCAAAATAAACAAATGGCCCATTGGTCCTTGAATGTTTTAATTGTAATTGTTCTTAATTGGGCAACAAAACCCAAATATTGAACAAGCACCTCATAAATGGATTTATTCCCCCCCACAGCCCACCTTAAAAGGTGCTTTTTTAGAGTGCTTTTGAYCCAGCTGAGAGGGGTCTGACAGACTTGATTCCTTTTCCTCAGGATAAAGTTCCTCRATTCTTTTGACTGCTGAAAAGGAACATTTCCCTTTGCTGCTGTACCAAATCTTTTGGATGATGTGAGTTCAGGATTTAGAAGGAAGTCTCCAGTAATCTGCCATTTTTATGGTTTTATCCCTGATATTAAGAGATCTGAATAACTGACCTATTTTCCCCCCTGAATTTGGGTTTTTTACATATCCATGTTGCCTGTTTTCTTCTGCTGCTTCATTTCCTGGGTAATCAAAAAATTATCCAAAATCCAAAATCTCAATTTAGGGGTTTCTGATTTTTTTTTTWWAWTTTTTTTTTTCACCCACTKTTTCAGAGGATTCCAAGGTATCCTGAATGAGTCAGGCAGTCCCAGTGTGTTGTAGGTTAAGATGTCTATAGGTGGGAGTTATTAGAAATCTTATAAAAACCCCAAAACAGTGCTTTTTTTTCTGTTTGCTTTCTCCTGCCAAGAAACAAAACCCAAGAAATAAACAGGAAATGTTTATCCTGCTGAAAAATYAGAGCAGAATGCCCTCAGTGTGGATGTGATAGTGCTGCAGTGCTGCTGTTTCCTGTTATCAGGGATTTTCTTGCAGTGCTGTGGAGCAGTGAGATCCTGCAGTTTTGGGATTACTGGCTGTAAAAAGGTTAATTTCAATGCATTTTGGAAAATCAACAACTCTGTCAGATGGGACTTTATTTCAGTGAAAGCAGTTTCTTCTGGTTGTACAAAGAAGCAAATATTTAGCTGTGATTACATTATTCTTCAGTTTATAACTTTTTAGAGAATTATGAGTTTGATACAAGCCACAAACTCTTTTTACCTCTAAAGAGGGAGAAATTCTGCCCTGTGAGGGTGGGGAGGGGCTGGGATGGAATTCCCAGAGCAGCTKTGGTGTCCCTGGATCCCTGGCAGTGCCCAAGGCCAGGTTGGATGGGGTTGGAGCACCCTGGGACAGTGGGAGCTGCAGGTCCCTTCCAGCCCAARCCATTCTGTTTTCATCCCCCAGACGCCCATAACATTGGCAGAATTTAGGATTTCTCTATGAAAATTCCTCAAACTGCTTCCAGGCTGCCTGAGTGTCCTGCCAGCAGCTCCTGGCACCTCACAGTAACAGTCTTGAACTGCTTCCAGTGCTTTGCTGGGCAGCACCAGGAACAAAACACTTCCAGTAAGGAGAAATAATGTGGGAGTGTCCTGCTGTATTCCCAGTGCTGTGGGGTGTTTGCAGAGGGGATTTTTTTGGGGAGGATCTCTGTTTTTAGCTGCCCATCTCAGGCAGTGCTGGGGAGGCAGAAACCTCTGTGTGCAAAATGTGTCTCAGATCCTGCTGGAGTGGGGGGATCATCCTTTACTGAACTGTGGAGTTTTCTTGCAGGTCACAGAATCCAAGATTGGTTTGGGTCAGAAGGGACCCTAAAAATGGTCCATCCCACCCCTGCCATGGGCAGGGACACCTTCTGCTCTCCCAGGGTGCTCCAAGCCCTGTCCAGCCTGGCTTTGGACATTTCCAGGGATCCAGGGGCAGCCACAGCTTCTCTGGACACCCTGTGCCAGGGCCTCCCCACCCTCACAGGAACAGCTTTCTCTTAATATCTGATCTAAATCTCTCCTTTTTCTCTCTCACGGGTACCACACCAATACTAATTTCCAATAGCTTTAATACAATTTAATTTCATCTTTATTTATACTTGAAATATAATATTACACTGATGAGGTTGTGCTCCAATATTTCTCCTTAAATAAAAGAAACTTTGGAAGAGCATCTAAGTACGAACAATTGCTTGAAGCTTTTGGAAATAGTGAATGCTTTTGGTGAATACTTTTGTTTGCCTGCTCCTCAGCTGTTTGAGTGAAAAAAAAAAATCATCCTAGTAGTGTATCTGGGGTTTAGATGTGGTTTTTTATTGTTATTTTGAAAGGTAATTTATTGAGACCAGTGGCTTTCCTAGGATTTGAAGGGGAATAAAGTAAAGGCCTTACTGAAGACTGTAGGATTTGTAGTTTGAATTATTTTCTTTCTTTCTTTTTTTTTTATTTTTTTAGAGGCAGTATTTAATTATTTGGTTTTGCAGTTTGGAATTCTGAGTGTTTCAATCCCAGTTTTTCCTGTTCTTTTTTCCTGCAGCTTTGTTAGTAGCTCCCATGTAAATCCCCCAGGAGGATTTATGTTTGACTGGGTGGAAGGACAGGCTCCAGTGTTTTGGAAGCACTGAGCCTTATCTAGGGTACATGAAGTACCTCTTCTCCTGATCTTTAGRCACATTGTCCTGCACAGCTCACATTAGCAGTGATTAATGGCCCTGGAAATAAAACATAAATCCATTCGTTACAGATCCTATTTTTAATCTGGGCAGGAGTATTTTATGCCCTCGCCAAACAGCAGGGATTTCTCTCTGGGTACTCCTTCCTGGTAGCCCAGACAGGACCAGGGGCTGGGCAGTGCCGTGGGCTTGTTGATCCTGCTGAATTCTGATGGAATTTTGGCATTTATGGATCCTAAAGGATCCTGTGTTTGTTCAGGAGTCATTTATGGCAGAAAGTGAGGGTCCCACCCTGCTCCTCTGCTGCAGGGTCAGGCTGGACCTGTGTGAGTGGTTCTTGTGCCTGATTTATTGATACAAATAGTGACAGTGTGTTTGTGTGGATTTTACAGCTGCAGGGTCAGGCTGGACCTGTGTGAGTGGTTCTTGTGCCTGATTTATTGATACAAATAGTGACAGTGTGTTTGTGTGGATTTCACAGAATATTTGTGTGGCCTCTGCAGGGTTCTGGTACCTCTAATTCTGTTATTTAATGGASGTTTCCTGGGATGTGTAAAACCAGTTTAT